GCGTCACTGCACTCCAGCCTGGGTGACAGAGCAAGACTCTGTCTCAAAAAAAAAAAAAAAAAAAAAACAGCCCGGCATCTCCCCTCACTCTCTCTTTTGTTTCCTCTCTCACCATGTGATCTGCACATGCTTCACCTTCTGTCATGAGTGGAAGCAGCCTAAAGCCCTCACCAGAAGCAGATGTTGGCACCATGCTTCTCACACAGCCTGCAGAACTGAGAGTCAAATACAACTCCTTTCTTTATAAGTTATTCAACCTTGGGTATTCCTTTATAGCAACACTAAATGGACGAAGACATTAAAAAAGAGACTACAAATATAAAAACAATACCTAGAAAGGATAGTGGTGGGAGAAAGGGGATGAGGGGACAAGAGAGAAGCAATAATTCTATGTGTACCTTTCAATATAGTTTTTACCAGCATGTATCTGCATTAAATATTCAAAAATAAAACTTTTTTTGGAAAGAGAATCTCACTCTGTCGCCCAGACTGGAGTGCAGTGGCGCAATCTCAGCTCACTGCAACCTCCGCCTCCCGGGATCAAGCGGTTCTCCTGCCTCGGCCTCTAAGTAGCTGGGATTACAGGCACCCGCCACCATGCCCAGCTAGTTTTTGTATTTTTAGTACAGACGAGGTTTCACCATGTTGGCCAGTCTGCCTCAAACTCCTAGCCTCAAGTGATCTTCTTACCTCGGCCTCCCAAAGTGTTGGGATTACAGGCATGAGCCACTGCAGCCAACAAGAAAACTATATTTAATGGGAAAAAAAGGTTCTTAAATGTATTGGGGACCCAATAAGCACAAGTCCTGCTGGCCTCTCGTACTGAGTCTGCACCTTCACATGCACAAGGAGATACAAGCCCGCCTGTCTGCAGATCCACCCATAGATCCATTCAGTATGTAGCTCCTGTTGTGTGCCATACCCAGATCAGTTCCTGAGAATATAGGATGCCTGCCCTGTTGGGCTCACAGACTATTCTGAGGGAGATGGATAAACAGCAAATTTTAACTCCATGAAAAAAAAATAGTATTAGTAAGTGCAAAGCATCATGGAGACACAAAGTAGCGCCTAACCTATCCTGGGAGAGACAGGAAGACTTCCTGGAAGAGAAGACATCTGAACGAGTCTGTAAGTAGGAGTAAAGCAAGTGAATAGGGAAGATCAGATTTTGTAAGATGTGAAAATTACATGAAATTCCAATTTGGGTGTCCATGAACACAGCCATGCCCACTTCATTTATGTGCGGTCCATGGTTGCTTTTGTGCTGCCGTGGCAGAGGTGAGTCATTGTAACAGAGACTGTACAGCTGTGAAGCTTAAAATCTTTTTTTATCTGGCCCATTACAGAAAAAGTGTGCTGATCCCTGCTGACCTCTGTAAATTAAGGTAGATCCTCTCAGCCCCATTTCTCAGATAAGGAAGTCAGGTTTGTCCAAGACTACAGAGCTGGGGAAAGCTGGAGCAGGGATTGGAATTGGAGCCCAGGCAGGCTGCACTTCTAGTACCAGTTACTTTCTGCCACATCATACACATCTCAGAACTAACACACTCTGTTTATACACATACTCACACCCTCAGTTTGTAGGGCCAGGAGTACAGGGGCAGACTGGGTGGTGTACAGTCCCCAGGGAAGAGTATGGGCAAAGGGCTCCAGATCTCACCTTCCAGAAAATCCAGAAGCCATTGAGCCAGCCGAGGAGAACCTCACACATAAGGATGGTCAGCACAATGTCATCTATAGTAGAGAACAACTCATAGTGTTTCTACATGGAAGACAGAGAAAAAAGAGGGGCAGAGAGGTCAGTGGAGCAGGGCCTGGGCAAGCCGGCAGGGAGAGGATGTATGTAGGGGAGGGAAGGCCCGTATCACTACTGCTCTTGGTCCTCAGCATCTTTGTCACTTCCTTTAAAACACACTTTGCGTGTGCGTGCCAGGCACTGTGCTGGGACTATCACATATCACTTCATGTTACCATGACTGTTGTCCTGCAAAGTAGGTTTTATTCCCATCTTACAGAAGTGGAATCAGAGTGGTGCCTGTGTGTGCACAGCTAGTTGATAAAGATGGTTGTCTGACTATGGACTTTTGTCCCTAACTTCTAGAATAGGGATATTTTGGAGAGGGAAGTAGGAGAGGCAGAACAGCCTCCAGGATTGGGAGGAAAAGACCTGGCCCCTGAGGGTAGAGAACACCAAGCTCCATCTGTCCTAACCTCTCCTGCTATTCCAGCTCTCCAAATACTCCAAGTTAGGCCTAACCAAACTCCTGGGTATCCTGCCACTCATGGGTCCAGGACATGCACCCTGGATGGATGAATGGTTAGATGGGTGACTGGGGTCTGCCCAGAGCCCAATTCACTTTCTCTCAATCTCGAAACTCCTCCTTCAGCTTCCTTATGGCTGCAACCCCACTAACAGCCCCCATAGTGCCCGACTCCACCTAGCAGTCCCAAGTCACCATGTCTCCTCTCTTTCTTTTCTTTCTTTTTCTTTTTTTTTTTTTGTGACATCTCAGCTCACTGCAAACTCCGCCTCCTGGGTTCAAGTGATTCTTCTGCCTCAGCCTCTCAAGTAGCTGGGATTATAGGCACCCACTGCAACGCCCAGCTAAGTTTTGTATTTTTAATAGAGACGGGGTTTCACCATGTTGGCCAGGCTGGCTGGTCTTGAACTCCTGACCTCAGGTGATCCACCCACTTCAGCCTGCCAAAGTGTTGGGATTACAGATGTGAAGCACTGCGCCTGGCTCAAAAAAAGTTTTAATTAGCCAGGCGTGGTATCTCATGCCTGTAGTCCTAGCTACTTGCAAGGCTGAGGGAGGAGGATCACTTGAGTCCAGGAGTTCAAGGCTGCGTTGAGCCAAGATGGTGCCACTGCACACCAGCCTGGGTGACAGAGTGAGATCTTGTCTCTAAAAAAAAAAAAAGAAAAGAAATTAAAACATCAAGGATAAGTCACACTGAACTTCAAGTTGGACACAGAGAAGTCTCTCATATGCTGTTTTTCCCCAAAACAGTCTCCCCACCTCTCTTTGCCTGGCCAACTCCTACATGCTCTTTTTTTCTGTTTCTTTGTTGTAGTGACTGAGATCACATCCTACTTTTTACTCTCAACTCCAGTGTCACTTTCTCCAGGAAGCCAGCTCGGATCCCCCAGATTAGGTTTGAGTGCCTTCGTTGAGCCTCCATGTACTCTGGGTGCTACTTGGGCACTTGTAAGGACAGTTTCTGTGTGTCTGAGACAGGACCCAGTTGTGCTTATTATCCCTAGGACCCTGGCAGTCTGCACAGTCAGTACCTGGCACTGAGTAATTGTCCTTTAGTAAGTGCTGGTTAGAATTGGATACCCCTTCTCCACAAGGCACCCATTTGCCTCCCTCTCCTCACACCATTCTTCTCCTGTCCTTCCTGTACAAATCCAATGCATTCCTCAAAGCCAGGCTGCAGAGCCCTCTCCACCATGAAGTCTTCCTTGATCTCCAGATTCCTAGAAGGTCAGAGCTGACAGACCCTTGAAGAGCACCCAATCCAACCATCATAGACAGATAAGGAGCCTGAGGCCGGGAGAGTTCTCGCCCCAGGGCCCCCATTAGGGTTAGTGGGGCAGAGGTCATGCTGGCGTCCCACCTGGTCCAGGTAGGAGTTGGTGCGGAGAGCGATGGTGATGGCGTTGATCACCAGCAGCAGGGCCAGCAGCAGTTGGAAGGCGGGGTGTCGGAGCAGCTGCTTGATGTACATGCGAGTGATGTACTCCTGCATGTCCCAGGTGTCCTGGGAGAGGGCAGGACCTTCCTTCAGGCAGGTGTCACCATAGGAAGCCTCTGCCTGGAGGTTTGCTCTTAGAGAATGGGGGTCCCTGGGGCCCACTCTAGAGGGGGAAAGTCACCTGAGAGTGGATCATGGAATGGAGACATCAGTGTAGAGGTCACTATCTAAATGGCCACTAAAAGTGGGTTACTATTGGGGGATTTTTGTGGAAGTCATTGCCAGAGAATCTCTTTGGGCTCTCTGATAGTGAAGACGATCGTTATATAAGGGCTCCTATGGGGGGCACTGCCAGAGAGTTACTAACATATCAAGGGCAGTCACTCAGGGATCAGTGCTAGGGAGGGTCCTCTGGGGGTGTTTAGATGGGAGAAGGGGCAGAGTTACCACGAGGGTCTGCTGCCCATGAGCACAGCTGCAGGAGGGGCCACTGTGGGGCGGGAGCTATCCTTACCGCTTTGTTCATGATGTCCCGGCGGTTGATGAGCACCTGCTCCTCTGGCCGACCGTAGGACTCGTGAATGGTACTCTGCAGGGGAGAGGGGCGGCCCCTCAGTGCAGCTACTCCCCTTCCAAACCCCATACGGTCCTCCTGAGTCCCGCCCCCAACCACGAGGCCTGTGTGGGAGGTCCACTGCTGCCACCAGGCCTTTTCATTATCCCTCATGGTTGCTCAGTCTCTTCTTTCTCCTCAAAGAATCTTCACTCCAAGTGGTCTCACTCCCCCTTGTGGTTATATCACAGAGGCCTCTGTGACCTCCAGCCTTCTGCATTCTACTGAGGAATTCCAACCAGGAGAGAAGCTCCTCCCATTGTCCCTCCTCCGCATCTCACAGAGGATGTCTGGGGATGCTGGGCTGGGGTTAGAAGTCAGAGGCTGATGGGAGCAGGTCAGATCTCCTGTGCAGCCTGGATGGAGTCATAGGGACGTGTCCCTGCCTTGGATCCAGGAGGTGGAGGTGAGGCTGGAATGAGGAGTGGAGAAGTGTTTTCCCCAGGGCCTTCCCAGGGCAGACCTCAACCTGCACCCCTCTGTACCAGCTGCCCTGTCCTACCTGCCCAGTCTCCAGGACTGTCCCCACCACCTTTCCATGCAAAGTGCATTTCCCCATCTATGAAGTGAAAGTTTCTCATTGTGTGCCCCTGGGGAATGGGGTAGGAGCTCACCATTAGCCTTCAAAGAGCTGGGGAGAGGTGGACCCACCATCCTGGCAGGCTTGGAGCTCAGGTACTCGCATGTACATCAACGGGCTGCACCAAGGGTCTGCCACCCCATCTCTGGCCAAGAGCACTCACCCCAGTCCCCACCGGGGGGCAGATTTCCAATTCAAATATGGAAGTAAAGATACATGTAGACTCATTTTTTTAAAAATTGACTGTATTTGGTTGGAAAGTAGCCCTCATGTAAAACAAAGAACACCTGTACAGACCTGGTTTTGGGGGAGAACTGTCAAGGAACTGGAGGGGCAGGGCTGTGGCCCAGAGATGGGAGGATGGGGTGGGAGAGTTTCTTCTTTGGCAAGAGAGAGGGTGGCACAAAGCGCAGGCAGAGGGGTCAGCTCGGGGTGAGACCGTGATTAGCAGTACTACTTCCCACCCTGAACAGAATCCAGGGATGCTCTGTCCTGGACATGTCAGAAGCTGGGGTTGAGGTGGCCCTCGGGTCAAAGGTCAGGAGCTAGAGTGCTGGCCAGGATCAGAGGTCAGGAGGTTGGAGGTTGCTCTCTGAGGTCAGAGGGCAGAGATGGGAGTGCTCTTCAGGGTCAGAGGACAGGGAGTCGGGGGTATGTTCTCTGGAGTCAGAGGCCAAGATGTGGGAGCTGCCTTCAGCCTGTGCCACTCCCCAGGCCCCCAGGGCCTCTGAGTACAGCTCCTGGTTCTGCTCCTTCCACTGGCGGAACTTCTCTCCTGTCAGTTCAGGGTCACCCAGCACTTCTTCTAGGACCTGCAGCTCCTGCAGCTTTGCCTGTGTGGAGAGGAGGGGCTAAGGGACCGTGATCACCCAGGGACGTGGGCAGAGTCTGAGACCAGACTTCACTCTGGAGTCTGGTGCCTAGAAGCCAGCACCTGGCCAGCGTGGCACGAGGAGCCCAGGTGAGACTCAAATCCCCACTTGGAACCCAGAGCCTGGCCCAGTCCACAGCTGAGCCCATGGTCAGCTGCTAAGCTCAGAGTCCAGAGCTAAGTCTGGAGTCTGGTGCCCAGGGTGGAGGTGAGAGCTGCAAACCAAAGCCTGAAGCCCAGAGCTTAGTCCCTTGCTGTGCCCAGAGTCCCCAGCTGACCTTGAGTGTGCTCTGTAGCGCCCGTACACGGTGCACTCGCTCATTGAGCTGAGGGTCTCGGTTGCGCCGCATGAAAGAGCTCCGCCACTGTTCCTGGGTTAGGGGCTGTGGCCGGCCTAGGAGGGACACACCACCCTGCCTCAGCCCCTGTACCATTCCTTCCAGTGCCTCTTCACTGCTGTCTGTGGGAGGGAGGAGCAGGATGAGGATGTGCCCACCCCAGCTCCCAGCCCAGCTCCCAACTCCAGCCCAGCACCTGTCAGAGAGCCAAAGGAGGTCCGTGGGCTGCGCTGTGTGGGGGTGGCTGCAGGTGATGTGTCTCCATGGAGGGGACTCCCAGCTTGAGCAGGGCTGGGCTGCAGGCAGGGTGGAAAGCACAGAGGGTCTCTGTCTGAGCTCCATGCCCTGCTATTTATCCCCACCTCCTACCCCCGGCAGCCCCCTACTCACCGAGGCTGAGCGGGACCCAGCCTCATCGTCTGGGTCTTCTGCTTCGGTCTCACTGTAGCAGTCTGGGGTGAGGAGGAGCAGTGGGCTTTGGGGAGGCCAGGGAGTGGCCTAGGGCATTTGAATTCCCAGCCCCCATCCCAGGAAAGGCAGAGGCTCAGGTGAGGGTTCCTCCTACTCAACCCTGTGAGACACCTACCTTCCTCTCGAGGCGGGGGCGCCCGGCCCGGAGATTGGTACTTGGAGATGCAGGTAATGAGATGACGCACCCACCTACGGAGAGCAAGCAGGTCTCACGGGGTTTCCATCCTCCGGGGTCCTCTTGTATGCTAGGGGCTTTTTACCCACATCATCTTCTGATGATTCTCAGAGCAACTCTGAGAAGGATGAACTCTTAGTCACCCATTTTAGAGATGATGAAACTGGGGCTTAGAGAACTGAGTACTGACTGTGTGCGGTGACTCACGTCTGTCACCCCAACACTTTGGGGAGCTGAGGCAGGAGGATTGTTTAAGACCAAGTGTTTGAGACCAGCTAGGGCAAAAGAGCAAATCCCATCTGCCCCCAAAACTTTTTAATTAAAAAAAAGAGAGACGCCGGGCGCGGTGGCTCACATCTGTAATCTCAGCACTTTGGGAGGCCGAGGCGGGCGGATCACAAGTTCAGGAGTTCAAGACCAGCCTGGCCAACACAGTGAAACCCCGTCTCTACTAAAAATACAAAAATTAGCCAGGTGTGGTGGAGGCGCCTATAGTCTCAGCTACCTAGGAAGCTGAGGCAGGAGAATCACTTGAACCCAGGAGGTAGAGGTTGCAGTGAGCCAAGATGGCGCCACTACACTCCAGCCTGGCTGACATAGTGAGACTCTGTCTCAAAAGAGAGAGAGAGAGAGAGAAGTGAGTACCTTGACCAACCACTCTCAGAGAGGTGGACTTTGCATCTCCAGGCTCCTGAGCCCAGGCTCCCAAGCTCACAGAGGTTGGGAATTATATGAGAGTAGGGGCTAAGGGAGGCAGCACTCACATGCTCAGATCTGTCAGGGTATCAGCAGCGAAGATGAAGGGTTTGTACACATCATGGGTGAGCTGAAACACACTGTCAAGGAGTGGAGGAGCATCACTCAGCCTGGGCGTGCCCACCCAGGGCCCAGAGAGGCTGGATTCTGGGCGCCCCAGCCACTTGCCACACCTCCCACTGCCACCCCATCACTCTTCCTCTCCCTTTCTGTCTCCATCCCCCAGCCCATCATATCCCAAGACTTAACTATTTCTTCTTCTGATCATGTCCACTTTCCAGACTATAGTTGGAGACATTGATGAGGCCCTCAGCCTTCTCATCCTGGGGGGATCACAGCATGAGGGTCAGGTTGGAACCCCAATACTCTCAAGGCCCAGTCAGCTCCTAGATACCCCTCGGTCTCCTGACGGTTGTGGAGGGGAGAAGGCATCTCCTGGGCTCTCTAACAAGTCTCTCTGTTTCTAGAGCTCAGGGCTGGAATCTGGGGTCAGGGTAGGAGGTGTGGCCAAAGGATGCCTCTAAGCCAGGAAAGGGGAGCCAAAGATATCAGAGAAACAGTCAAAAAAAAAAAAGAGCAGCCTGAAGGCTGGGCATGGTGGCTCATGCCCGTAATCCTAGCACTTTGGGAGGCCAAGGCAGGAAGACCATTTGAGCCTAGGAGTTTGAGACCAGCCTTGGAAAAAAGCCCATTTCTACAAAAAATTAAAATCTTAGGCCGGGCGCAGTAGCTCACATCTGTAATCCCACTGCTTTGGGAGGCTGAGGCTGGAGGATCACAAGGTCAGGAGTTCAAGACTAGCCTGGCCAACATGGTGAAACCCCATCTCCACTAAAACTACAAAAAATTAGCCAGGTGTAGTGGCAGGTGTCTGTAATTCCAGCTACTCGGGAGGCTGAGGCAGGAGAATCGCTTGAACCTGGGAGGCAGAGGTTGCAGTGAGCTGTGACTGCACCACTGCACTCCAGCCTGGGCAACAGAATAAGACTCCGTCTCAAACAAAACAAAACAAAACAAAACAACACAAAACTTAGCTAGGCATGGCGGCATGTGCTTACAGTCCCAGCTACTCAGGAGGCTGAGGCAGGAGGATCACTTGAACCTGGGAGGCGGAGGCTGCAGTGAGCTGAGATCATGCCACTGCCCTCCAGCCTGGGTGACAAAGCAAGACTCTGTTTCAAACACAAAAACCAAAAACCCAAACAAGAAGAGCCTGCTCATGCATTTGTTCCTTCAGTAGACACAAACAAACTGCTTCATGCCCCTGAGTTTTCGGAATGCTGCTTTCTCTTCCTGGTTTTCTTTCCCCTTCCCATGCAACTAACTGCCAGGTATTGCGTTGTCAGGGGGCATCTGGACTCCTCAGGAGGAACTGGATACCTCTGTTGTGCTCCCACATATCCCTTGGGGTTTCCCTTTATCTTAGTACACAGTTCCTACATTGTCCTTGAATGCGTATTCATCCCTCTCCCCTAATAGCCTCTAAGTTCTGGAGAAGCAAAAACCATCCGCTCTTCTGTGTGTCCATAGTGCCCAGCCTAGAGCTGGGTTCACAGTAGGCACCTGAATATTGAATGAATAAATGAGTAAATGAATGACCCATCATTGGGATGGACAGAATATCAGAAGGATAAGAAGTGGGCAGAATAGAAGTGATTTTTCAGCCAGATGTGGTGGTTCACACCTGTAATCCCAGCACTCTGGGAGGCTGAAGCAGGCAGAACGCTTGAGCCCAGGAGTTTGAGACAAGCCTGAGCAATATAGCAAGACCCCATCTCTTAAAAAAAAAAAAGATTTTTCGGGGCTGGGCGTGGTGGCTTACACCTGTAATCCCAGCACTTTGGGAGGCTGAGGCAAGCAGATCACGAGGTCAGGAGATGGAGACCATCCTGGCTAACATGGTGAAACCCTGTCTCTACTAAAATACAAAAAATTAGCCGGCTGTGGTG